GTGTATTTTATTGATTCTATGACTTGAACTTTTAATATTTCACATACTTTTGAAAATCCAGTGTTTATTTGATCCTGATAAGCACTCGTTGTCACAGCTGTAAAGACGACGGCTTTCTTCTTCTGTGAGGGGGTTTGGAATCACAGCATCTTTGTTTCCAGGTGGAACGTTAAAGACCACACGTCTCCCGGAAATCCTGTATAATTTAATCAATCCGACGATGACTTCAAAAACTCCTGCAATGTTTCCACTTAGTGTGCTATATGCACCAGACATTAAACCAGCATGATGTCTGAGGCTGAGATTATGTAGCCATAGCCTAACCACAAGGTCTACACTTCAGCATAATGGTAACCTCAAAAATCAACATAACCTAAACTCTTTTAAATGTCAAACATAACTGAACAACAAACTTTAATAGGTCTTTCCCTTTACTAAAAAAAACATCAAACAGCACTTAATTTCAACATTTACTCTCCTGATCTATCCCTATGCAAACCATGATGGGAACTAGAAATCCACTGCCCAGTTTCAGTCAATGCAACGTAAATAATTCATGTAGCCCCAACACAAATGGTCTGTTAACTTAATATTTTACAAATGTAATTTCATTTAATGTAATAAAATGTTGTGCAAATAACAACTGAGTAAACAAAACTAAAGATTTGTGTTGTGTTAGCTTATTTTATTGAAGTAAACTGAGCAAACTACTAAAATATATTTTTGAGTGTGGGGACATAATAACACATTTAAATTATGCATATACATATTCTAATGAAGCTTAAAAGGATCTACCAAATAAAGATTTCATTTTCACAACTATATTTCTCTGTAAGCTGATTTGAGGCATCATTTAAAGCACTATATAAATAAACTGAGTTGATTTGACAGAATGCTTCCTTTGCAACTGATCTGACTGACTTTCCGTTATTTGTGACCTCATCAGACACCCTTTTTAAAACACTGGCAGGCACACCTCTGTGTTTTTCTGTTCCACTGTCTAGGCAATCTGTAAAATTGTAAAAAGAAAAAAAAAATCATAGTTTTATATAAGGGGATGTTTGTAACACTTTTTAAAGATGTGTTACAACCCACCCCACCCCTGTCAGTCATTGTTTAGCTAGCTGTATTAGCTTAATTGTTTGAAATTAGAAGGGGGGAAATGCTCAGACCACGTCAGATTCTCTCTGATCACAATCAGTTTATCTGGAAACCAAACAAACCACAAGCAGAAACTAGAGAGAGACTGATCAAAAACAACATGCAGAACAAACACTGTGGATGAGTTTGTCATGTCAGACGTGTAGCGTGAACTTTAAGAGATCTTGGTCCGTATTTATCGAGCTTCTCAAAGTGCCATTTTAGTCTTAAGTGCTGAGAATTCATTAAATGTACTCCTACTTTCAAACTTAAGTATAAAAGCAAGTTATCAAATTTCTTAAAGCTAAGAATCGCTCTTACTCTCCCAGTTATTTAAGACAGCTCGAGAGGTCTCTCAAGTGGTTAGGAGTTGCAGTAGGGGCATGTGATGGCGCTGAGGAGACAGAGACGTGAGCAAATCTTTCAGGAGAAGAAGAATATTCTTGAAATGTTTGATGACGAGGTTACATTTCCTCAGTTATTCAAACAGAAAACAAGCAAAGAATAACTGACTTCAGTCTAGTGCAAGTATTATGTGTTCTTTAAAAACACTCCCGTTATAATCAGTGAAGCTACCTACACTGTATCATGAATAAATCTCTTACCCCTTATTTACACTGCACACGTCTGCGGCACGTTACGGCTCCGACACAGCCACCGGAGCTGATCACGGCTACTCAGCAGTTTCTGAAGCAGCTCTACGCACTGCATCACTAAAGATAGGTGCCTATATTTTTGACGGATAATAATAATAATCGTCTTGCTGTCATCAAAGAAATCAGCAACAGGCGATATCTCTGACTATCGTCGATACACGATACTATCGTCTACCGGCACAACCCTAAATTGAAGGTTGAGATGACGATTTTTTTCCTTACCATAATGTATTCTCTTGAAAATTCTTTATTGTCAAATGTGTGTTGAATGTAAACTCCTATTAGGATTTTAACCATTCAGTGTGAATTTATCTGAGAATATTCTTAAATATGGAAATCTATTCAGTGATTGGTCCATGCGTATTTCGTCATCCAAAATCCCGTTTGTGGCACAGAATCATCTCTAAGACTGAGACTTAAGATTTAGTCCTACACTTAGCTTAAATTACGACTAAGATGCTAACTTTTAAGCGCAGCTTTAAGCCAATAATTTTTTTATACTTAAGTCAATTCTTAGCAGCGTTCTTGAGAGTAATTCTCAGAGGCTTGATAAATACGGGCCCAGGAGGTGATGGATGGATTGTGTGTGTTTTGTGAGGATCTACTCACCTTCATGACACACAAAAGGAAACTGGTGGTTGGTGCAAGAGATGTCATGCCATTGTCTCTGAGCGTTCTGTTCAACAGCTGTACAGTCTTCATTACCTCCAATATTATTAGGTTCACCAGACTTCCAGTATCTGAATGAAGTGTTACTCTGATCTGACCACTGCCATGAGTCTCTGAACAGACCGATCCAGACATATGATCCAGATTTATTATTAGCACTAATGATCTTCTTAACCTGTTGATTCTCATTCTGGTTTCTCACACTGACCAGATCAATGTGATTCTGTCTGCAGTAACTCTGAGCGTCTCTCCAGTTCTTCTCCTGATTAAAAAAGACGAGTCCTGTGTTCGCTTTAAGAAAAACAAATGGACAAAGATTCATGAATCAGTTTGTTCATTATTCTTACGCTGCTTTATGGTTTGGATGTGAACAGGAGCAGCGGTGGAAACATCAGAAACACGTCACTCAAAGACTCGAGCTGCTTCTACAGCTGGTGATATATTGAATGTTCACAATATTTTCAGGATTGTTTTAAAGATGTAACATGAAGTAACACTGGAGAACATTGTGATGATTTTAAAGCTCTCTCTATTGATCCATTATGAATACTTGATTTGGAAAATATTGTGTCTATACAGAAATTGTGTTAACAATTAAAGTGTGACCAATGTATAGTCACTTCTATATTCATAATCAAATTAAAATAGGAGTTAGTAGTGCATTAAAATATACACATACATTTCTGGTTGTTTGAATTTATATAAATTAGTTTTAAATAGCTGCACTCACTGTTGTTGCAGATGAAATGCAGGTTATCACTACATCCCAAATCATGCCATTCTCCATCTCTCATCCCAGCGTACTCATCTTTGCCATCAGGTTGTTTATATCCCCAGTTCAGATAGAGCGCTGGTTCACCTGAAGACCACTGCCATTCATCACGACCCGTCTTCTGCAGCCCAATCCAGATATACTCAACACCTCCACCATTCATACTCTCGTTCAGCTCGTTCATGTCGTTCATGTTGTCAACGGTGGCCAGATCTGTGTAATTCTCTCTGCAGTATCTCTGAGCTTCAGTCCAGGTCTTCCTCTCATTTATAAAGTGATACTGACGCTGAACACATTCAGATACAGAGCAGAGAGCTGTGAAAGAGAGGCTTTGCTTTAATGCTTTTCATAACAGGATCAAACCTAAGGAAACTATAAACCATAAATAAAACCACAAACACTCACCAATGATAAGAATAATTAAATATAGAGTTTGCTCCATTTCTGAGGAAGAATAATACAGATAAACTCAGATTTTAAATATTCAGTAATTCATTTGAGTGTAAAACATGTATCATAACAGGAACATAAATGTACTGTACGCAAACATTAAGACAATATTAATATCTCAAAGTCTAATTTAAAGAATGAAGATGAGTTATTCTTACTTTAGTGTGTTTCTGTCCTGAGTCTGATGTTTCTGTCTGCAGCTTCAAACTATATGATTATTATATCTGCTCTCATCCGTCACTCAGCACGTCACTTCATTTGTTTATTACTCTAAAAATAAAGCCCTTTTCATTTTTCTTCCTTATTCACATGTATTTCCTTCTGTTTTTCTGCATGTTCTGTAATGAAGTATTGTATTTCCACAGCGGCTTCACAGGAAAAATCCACCTCAACATTTGCATTTGTGTTTTCCATTTTCTTTCAGCTTTGATATTGTCAGTGACCATCAGCATGTTTCTGCATCCCAAACTAAACAACATTTTCACAAAATTTGAACATATTCTGTGTTACCATTAGCACAGTATCTGTTGCTTCATGAGTGCTATCACACAGAGTAACAAAAACATGCAAATAAAATACAGCAGCAACAACACACTCAACACTTAATTTATGGAAATCATAAGCACAGAGAACGTCCACATTATTTCACTGTTATTATTGCACTGTTGCTCTCTTCATATAATGTCAACTTATATAACAGTAAATTGCATTCACTGGAGTTACAAATCATGCTTGCATTTGATTTAAATGCTACTTTAACCTCTTTCTCTCGTTTACCTTGTTCTCCTTAATCTTTCTCTCTTTTTTTCACTGATCTGCATGCATATGACTAGACATGGGGTCAAACCAGATAAAAAGTTTTCTTTTTAATACTAAAATTCATGTTCACATTCACCATTTTTACTCTGCAACAGCAGCAGAAGCTACATAATATAACACAAAAAAGGTGCATATAGTGTACATGTATTTACATATGAGGTACAAGAGCAGGAAACTAATCTAAAAATAGAAAATGAATGACATTTTGAATTCACAGATAATGAAATATACACTCTCTGTCACTATGACAGCTGAGTTTAAAGCGTGTCTGATGCAGTTGCATTTACATCAGCCAATCAGTGTTGACATGTTGTCATTTTCCTGCAGCTCTAGTCAGTTTCTTGTCCAGCTCTACTTGCCTCGTGACTATTAATTGTTAGCCTAAATTAGGTTCATTTGAATAAACTAATACATATTCATAAAAATGACTTTTGTTTCTAGTTTGAGCTCTTTGACTCTTCAGGCAGCTGTAAAGCGTTGCTGTAAAGCATTGCTCCCAGTTTGTCCTAGCACTTTGCCTGTGGATCGTAACGGTGCACCCATGGAGTATCACGGGCCGAATCAGCCAAAGAGCCTCCCAAAATGTACAGCTGTCCGCCAAGAGCTGCCGCGGGTGAGATGTGCGGTTGGGGCAGGACGGGGAAAGACGTCCAGGAGTCACGAGCGGGATCGTACGACTCGCACTGCAGCTGGACTTCAAACCCCGCCCACATTGACTGCAACCCCCCAGCCACGACCAATCGCTGTCCCGAAACCAGCATCACGTGACCTGCCCATCCCACTCCCTCTGTCATAGGTGCGCGTTTTGAGCAGCCGTGCACCGGGTCGTAGAGCCACAGACTCGGATAGCAGCGCAGATGAGAGTCACAACCGCCCGACACAAACATCTGTCTGTTCAACATGGCCGCGGCGTGACCGCAGAGAGGAGCGTCCAGAGGATGAGACGAGCTGTGATAGCAGGAGGAAAACAAACATTACAGGCTTGATATTTAAAGGGGTCATATGATGCGATTTAAATTTTTCCTTTCTCTTTGGAGTGTTACAAGCTCTTGGTGCATAAAGAAGATCTGTAAAGTAGCAAAGACTAACGTCTCAAATCCAAATATATATTCTTTATAAAGTTTAAGAGTCAACCACGCCTACCTACAATGCCTCGTTCTAACACGCCCCCACATGTCTATGTCACTATGTGGGAAGATTTGCATAACGCTGCCCAAATGTTCACGCAAAGAAAGAAGGCATAACTTTTATTCTCACTGTAGTATTGTTGTTGCTGCCATGTCGTGAAGGTGCTGTGTGTTTCGTTTTGAAAGCAAAACTACTTTGTCTGGCCTTCCAAAAGAGGACGATATCCGCCCGGGGTCTTCATCAAATCCACCTGCGCAACACGTTTACAGTGAAAGAGTGTGAGGTAAGATGTTGCTAAATATTTAATATGACACTGTTGTTGAATTACACCATTTTGAATGAAAAATTCTCGGTGCGGATTTATCGCCCTCCAAAGGGCACTTCAGAGTGAAAACAATCATGGCTGCCATATTGAAGGGTCGTTCCAAACCGAAGTGCTCAAAACAGGCCACTTCAAAGTGCCCTTCGGAATGAAGGATTTTGAATGGCACAACTGATGGACACTTCGGACCCCCATAATCGTTTGCACAGGGAAGTTGTTAGGCAAAATATATCCATTTAAAAACCAATTGCTTATGAAGTAATATCCATTGGCTGCTTGCACAATCTCATCGTTCTGAGCGTGTTTTTTGGGGGGTCAACCAGCATACAAAATGTGCGACAAAGGCGCCTCCTTGATCATCTCGTTAAGATGACGCAGAAGTGTGTTCCAAAAAAGTTTTTTTGACCCCTACACCCTTCATCCCTTTGAAGCTCTCACTCCGGAGGGTAAACCCTTTGAAGGGATTAGGGCGTAGGGATAAGCCCTTCCGAATGGAATGCAGGGACAGGCTATCGTTTACATGATTCATAATTGAATGTGTGAAAAAGGAAACATTAGTGGGGCAGTTTCCGTTCTTTTAAAGAGAGTGTGTATATTTGAATATATAGCCTAATTATTATTATTATAATTATTATTATATATAAATATTATTTGCAAATAGATCACATGAGTTTATTTACAATACATTTTAGTTTTCTAGTCTTTTGATGTTTGATGGTTTGTTTATTTATTTATTTCCTTTAAATAAAAAGGTCCATTATATTGGTCAAAAATTGCTTTGGTCCCCTCCAAAGTTCAAGCACGGCTGCTTTACCCCACATACACACAACCGGAAGGAGCAGAAGCGCTCGACTGTGGCATAATAAAAGCTATGCTGCTTTACCCCACATACACACAACCGGAAGGAGCAGAAGCGCTCGACTGTGGCATAATAAAAGCTATGCTGCTTTACCCCACATGCACACGACCGGAAGCAGCGGAAGCGCTCGACTGCGGCATAAAAGGTGTGCCTTAGGCTGGCCACAGTAAAAGGCCACTCTAAAATGTGCAGTTTTATCACACAGCACAATGCCACAGATGTCGCAAGTTTTGAGGGAGCGTGCAATTGGCATGCTGCGTTTATATTTTTGTTCAGTATATATCGCACTATCTGTTGCGATACTGTAGCTGATGGCTGCATGGTTACAATTTTATCTCTAACAGTATCGATCTTGGAAGTAAAGTAGTTCATAAAGTCATTACTGCTGTGCTGTTGGGAAATGTCAACACCTGTTGTTGCTTTATTTTTCATTAATTTAGCCACTGTGTTGAATAAATACCTGGGGTTATGTTTGTTTTCTTCTAAAAGAGACGAAAAGTAATCAGATATAGCAGTTTTTAATGCTTTTCTGTAGGATAGTGTACTTTCCCGCCAAGCAATATGAAATACCTCTATTTTGTTTTTCTCCAGCTGTGCTCCATTTTCTGGGCTGCTCTCTTTAGAGTGCAAGTGTGCTCATTATACCACAATGTCTGATTGTTTTCTACACTGTTTTTCTATCTGTTGCACCCAGATCTTCGAGGTCAGTTTTTCAGTCTCCTAGACTGGCATCCAGCAGGGAGGATCCACCGCTGGTGTCAGCACATGCAGCTGGTATCCCTAAACCAGCGCTCTCAGACCTTTCTGTTCCTGAACTGATTCCCCTGTCTGTAGCGCTTCCCACATTGGGGATCGCCTTATGGTGTATTTGGATTGCATACACCACCACTGAAGCTCTAAAAACGGCTGCTCCCACTATGATGTCTCCAGAGGTAGCGGTGTATGCTGCAAAACCTCCCGAGGCGGAGGCGCTCGCTTCAGTTCCTTGTGCGGTGGTGGCACCCAGCAACACACTTTCAGCCTGTCATGTCGCAGTCGAAGGAACCATTGCTGAACTTTGTACCTGTCCTGTTAAGAAGAATACTAATGAACTTTCCTGATGGTACGGCTGCAGAACCTCCAGAGGTGTCAGTGGTATCCACTTATGAACCCTCGTCCTGTCCTGTTCCGGCCAAGGAGGCTGTCTGTGAACTCTCTGCCTGTCCTGTCATGGCTATGGAGGCCACCTGTGAACTCTCTGCCTGTTCTGTCATGGAGGCCGTCTGTGAACTATCTGCCTGTCCTATTACGGCTATGGAGGCCATTTATGAACTTTCGTCCTGCTCTGAACCGGCCAAGGAGGCCATTTATGAACTCATGTCCTGCTCTGAGTCGGCCAAAAAGTCCATCTTAGAACTCCCAACCATGCCTGTAACAACCACAGAGACAGTTCATGGACTTTATTTTTGCCCCGATTCAGCCATGGGATTTCCTTGGGAGCTCTCAGCCCAGTCTGTTACTACCGAGGCCTTAAATGCACCTTTTCCCTGCTCTGTTAGCCCTGTTATGGCCATAGGGGCCATTAATGAACCTTTTGTCTGCCCTGCTAGCCCTGTCACGAGCCCAGAGACCTTTAATAAACTGTTTGTCTGTCTAAATCTTGCTAATAAATCTGTTCCTGAATCATATGCCAGTCCCTTTTCCCTCCATGAGTCTGATGTTGAACCATCTCATCTGTCTGTGCAGATTCTATTAATGTCTGTTTAGTTTCAGTCACTGAAGTAGTAAGTCAATTTAAGCTGTCTATTGCTATAGCAAAGCTTAACAACTCCCTACTGAAAAAAACAGTGAAAACTGTTTTAAAGTGGTTTTGGCCACTTTTTTAGCAGGCCAGGCTGGTCTTAGCTGTTTTTGTAGCTGTTGTTTTTACTGAATCAACTGGTTTTAGCTGATTAGCATAGAAACTTGTTAACAACATGCTAGTAACTTGCTAATCATGCTAACAAAATGCTAGTAACATTCAAATCATTCTAGAAACATGCTAGTAACTTGCTAATCATGCTAACAAAATGCTAGTAACATTCAAATCATTCTAGAAACATGCTAGTAACTTGCTAATCATGTTTAACACCATGATAGTAATGTGCTAATCATGCTAGAAACATGCTAGCAACTTGTTAAACATGCTAGACACATGCTAATCATGCTAGTAACTTGCTAATCATGCTAACAACATGATAACAACTTGATAATCATGCTAGAAACATGTTAACAAAATGTTAGTAACATGTAAATCATGTTAACAACATACTAGAAACTTGCTAATCATGCTAACAAAATGTTAGTAACTTGCTAATCATGTTAGAAACATCCTAACAACTTGTTAAACATGCTATAAACATGTTAGCATCATGCTAGTAACATGTTAATCATGATAGAATCATGCTAGCAACATGCTAGTAAACTTATTTATCATGCTAACAAAATGCTAGCAACTTGCTAAAAATGTTAGAACCATACTAGCATCATGCTATTAACATGTTAATCATGCTAGCAACATCGTATGAACTTGCTAATCATGTTAACAACATGCTAGTAACTTGCTAATCATGCTAGAAACATGATAGCAACTTGTTAAACATGTTAGCCATGCTAGATTAATGATAGCAACATGCAAGTAACTTGCTAATTATGTTAATGACATGCTAGAAACTTATTAATCATGTTAACAACATGGTAATCATGCTAGAACCATGTTAATAACTTGTTAATCATGCTAAGAAAATGTTAACAACATGCTAGTAACTTGTTAATTATGTTAACAACATGCTAGTAACATGTCAATCATGCTAGAAACATGCTAGTAACATGCTAATCATGTTAGAAACATGTTAGTAACTTGCTAATCATCTTAACAAAATGCTAACACCATGCTAGTAACATGTTAATCATGCTAGCATCGTGTTAATAACTTGCTAATTATGCTAACAACACCCTAGTAACATGCTAATCATGCTAGACAAATGCTAGTAACTTGCTAATCATGCTAGCAACATGCTAGTAAACTTATTTATCATGCTAACAAAATGCTAGCAACTTGCTAAAAATGTTAGAACCATACTAGCATCATGCTATTAACATGTTAATCATGCTAGCAACATCGTATGAACTTGCTAATCATGTTAACAACATGCTAGTAACTTGCTAATCATG